TGGGTTTGACAGACAGCGATTTCCTTGGCTACATCAATATCAACAACATATGTCAGATGTCGGTCGCTGTAATGTATAAAACTAATCCCATGATTGTAAAAGCATTTTCATCAATTTTTATAATTCCTTTTGATGCTTAGGTGTGTTTTATGTAGTTGTATGATGTCGTGTTTTATGTGGTTGTATGATAATGTCGTGATTTATGTAGTTGTATGACAATGTCGTGTTTTATGTAGTTGTATGATGTCGTGTTTTATGTGGTTGTATGATGTCGTGTTTTATGTAGTTGTATGATAATGTCGTGTTTTATGTGGTTGTATGATGTGTTTTATGTAGTTGTATGATGTCGTGTTTTATGTAGTTGTATGATAATGTCGTGTTTTATGTGGTTGTATGATGTCGTGTTTTATGTAGTTGTATGATAATGTCGTGTTTTATGTAGTTGTATGATGTCGTGTTTTATGTGATTGTATAATGTCGTGTTTTATGTGGTTGTATGATGTCGTGTTTAATGTGGTTGTATGATGATGTGTTTTATGTGGTTGTATGATAATGTCGTGTTTTATGTAGTTGTATGATGTCGTGTTTCATGTGGTTGTATGATGTCGTGTTTTATGTTGTTGTATGATGTCGTGTTTTATGTGGTTGTATGATGATGTCGTGCTTTATGTAGTTGTATGATGTCGTGTTTTATGTGGTTGTATGATGTCGTGTTTTATGCGGTTGTATGATGTCGTGTTTTATGTGGTTGTATGAAGTCGTGTTTTATGTGGTTGTATGATGATATATTTTTGTGGTTGTATGATAATGTCGTGTTTTATGTAGTTGTATGATGTCGTGTTTTATGTGGTTGTATGATGTCGTGTTTTATGTAGTTGTATGATAATGTCGTGTTTTATGTGGTTGTATGATGTCGTGTTTTATGTAGTTGTATGATAATGTCGTGTTTTATGTGGTTGTATGATGTCGTGTTTTATGTGGTTGTATGATGTCGTGTTTAATGTGGTTGTATGATGATGTGTTTTATATGGTTGTATGATAATGTCGTGTTTTATGTGGTTGTATGATGTCGTGTTTTATGTAGTTGTATGATAATGTCGTGTTTGATGTAGTTGTATGATGTCGTGTTTTATGTGGTTGTATGATGTCGTGTTTTATGTAGTTGTATGATAATGTCGTGTTTTATGTGGTTGTATAATGTCGTGTTTTATGTGATTGTATAATGTCGTGTTTTATGTGGTTGTATGATGTCGTGTTTTATGTAGTTGTATGATAATGTCGTGTTTTATGTGGTTGTATGATGTCGTGTTTTATGTAGTTGTATGATAATGTCGTGTTTTATGTAGTTGTATGATAATGTCGTGTTTTATGTGATTGTATAATGTCATGTTTTATGTGGTTGTATGATGTCGTGTTTAATGTGGTTGTATGATGATGTGTTTTATGTGGTTGTATGATAATGTCGTGTTTTATGTAGTTGTATGATGTCGTGTTTCATGTGGTTGTATGATGTCGTGTTTTATGTTGTTGTATGATGTCGTGTTTTATGTGGTTGTATGATGATGTCGTGCTTTATGTAGTTGTATGATGTCGTGTTTTATGTAGTTGTATGATGTCGTGTTTTATGTGGTTGTATGATGTCGTGTTTTATGTGGTTGTATGATGTCGTGTTTAATGTGGTTGTATGATGATGTCGTGCTTTATGTAGTTGTATGATGTCGTGTTTTATGTAGTTGTATGATGTCGTGTTTTATGTGGTTGTATGAAGTCATGTTTTATGTGGTTGTATGATGATATATTTTTTGTGGTTGTATGAAGTCATGTTTTATGTAGTTGTATGATAATGTCGTGTTTTATGTAGTTGTATGATAATGTCGTGTTTTATGTAGTTGTATGATGTCGTGTTTTATGTGGTTGTATGATGTCGTGTTTTATGTAGTTGTATGATGTCGTGTTTTATGTGGTTGTATGATAATGTCGTGTTTTATGTAGTTGTATGATAATGTCGTGTTTTATGTGGTTGTATGATGTCGTGTTTTATGTGGTTGTATGATGTCGTGTTTAATGTGGTTGTATGATGATGTGTTTTATATGGTTGTATGATAATGTCGTGTTTTATGTGGTTGTATGATGTCGTGTTTTATGTAGTTGTATGATAATGTCGTGTTTGATGTAGTTGTATGATGTCGTGTTTTATGTAGTTGTATGATGTGTTTTATGTGATTGTATAATGTCGTGTTTTATGTGGTTGTATGAAGTCGTGTTTAATGTGGTTGTATGATGTCGTGTTTGATGTAGTTGTATGATAATGTCGTGTTTTATGTGGTTGTATAATGTCGTGTTTGATGTAGTTGTATGATGTCGTGTTTTATGTGGTTGTATGATGTCGTGTTTTATGTAGTTGTATGATAATGTCGTGTTTGATGTAGTTGTATGATGTCGTGTTTTATGTGGTTGTATGAAGTCGTGTTTAATGTGGTTGTATGATGATGTATTTTTTGTGGTTGTATGATAATGTCGTGTTTTATGTGGTTGTATGATGTCGTGTTTTATGTAGTTGTATGATAATGTCGTGTTTTATGTGGTTGTATGATGTCGTGTTTTATGTAGTTGTATGATGTCGTGTTTTATGTGGTTGTTATGATGTCGTGTTTTATGTAGTTGTATGATAATGTCGTGTTTGATGTAGTTGTATGATGTCGTGTTTTATGTGGTTGTATGATGTCGTGTTTTATGTGATTGTATAATGTCGTGTTTTATGTGGTTGTATGATGTCGTGTTTTATGTGGTTGTATGATAAAATCGTGTTTTATGTGGTTGTATGATGTCGTGTTTAATGTGGTTGTATGATGTCCTGTTTTATGTAGTTGTATGATGTCGTGTTTTATATGGTTTTATGATAATGTCGTGTTTTATGTAGTTGTATGATGTCGTGTTTTATGTGATTGTATGATGTCGTGTTTTATGTAGTTGTATGATAATGTCGTGTTTTATGTAGTTGTATGATGTCGTGTTTTATGTGATTGTATAATGTCGTGTTTTATGTAGTCGTATGATGTCGTGTTTTATGTGGTTGTATGATAATGTCGTGCTTTATGTGGTTGTATGATGTCGTGTTTTATGTGGTTGTATGATGTCGTGTTTTATGTGATTGTATGATGTCGTGTTTTATGTAGTTGTATGATAATGTCGTGTTTTATGTAGTTGTATGATGTCGTGTTTTATGTGGTTGTATGATGTCGTGTTTTATGTGGTTGTATGATGTCGTGTTTAATGTGGTTGTATGATGATGTCGTGCTTTATGCAGTTGTATGATGTCGTATTTTATGTGGTTGTATGATGTCGTGTTTTATGTAGTTGTATGATGTCGTGTTTTATGTAGTTGTATGATAATGTCGTGTTTTATGTGGTTGTATGATGTCGTGTTTTATGTGGTTGTATGATGATGTCGTGCTTTATGTAGTTGTATGATGTCGTGTTTTATGTAGTTGTATGATGATGTCGTGTTTTATGTAGTTGTATGATAATGTCGTGTTTTATGTAGTTGTATGATAATGTCGTGTTTTATGTGGTTGTATGATGTCGTGTTTTATGTGGTTGTATGATGATGTCGTGCTTTATGTAGTTGTATGATGTCGTGTTTTATGTGGTTGTATGATGTCGTGTTTTATGTAGTTGTATGATGTCGTGTTTTATGTAGTTGTATAATGTCGTGTTTTATGTAGTTGTATAATGTCGTGTTTTATGTAGTTGTATGATGTCGTGTTTTATGTGGTTGTATGATAATGTCGTGCTTTATTTGGTTGTATGATGTCGTGTTTGATGTAGTTGTATGATAATGTCGTGTTTTATGTGGTTGTATGATGTCGTGTTTTATGTAGTTGTATGATGTCGTGTTTTATGTGTTTTATGTGGTTGTATGATAATGTCGTGCTTTATGTAGTTGTATGATGTCGTGTTTTATGTAGTTGTATGATAATGTCGTGTTTTATGTGGTTGTATGATGTCGTGTTTTATGTGGTTGTACGATGATGTCGTGTTTTATGTGGTTGTATGATGATGTTGTGTTTTATTTGGTTGTATGATGATGTGTTTTATGTGGTTGTATGATGTCGTGTTTTATGTAGTTGTATGATGATGTGTTTTATGTGGTTGTATGATAATGTCGTGTTTTATGTGGTTGTACGATGTCGTGTTTTATGTGGTTGTATGACGATGTCGTGTTTTATGTGGTTGTATGATGATGTTGTGGTGTATGTGGTTGTACGATGATGCGGTACATCTGCGTAACAAGTCACTGAATATAACACATTTCACCCAAATTGAGTTTTGTATATAATCATAATTCCTAACGGTACTATATACTTACAGGTGTGAGAAGGTTGTATTGTTAAGTACAGTAGAATGTGATTAATTATTTCAGTATTTTCAATCTAGGTTCAAGCTAAGTAAAAATTTGTTTCAATAAACTGATTCTTACAGAACACGCGTATATTAAGAAATTTTTTTAGATATTTGTGCTAAAAAGGAAATTGTTTTTTGTTTCTAATTTACACATCACATTGTATCGAAAAAATGTTTCTTAGTCAGAGTGAGCTCTCTGATCTCGACAGCCATGGTGCCTTGTTGTATTGGAGAACAGAGAATGGAGCATTGCCGTCCAGGTGTGAACGTTAAGGAACAACCTGGAGGCACAGGAGAGAGCGCCTCCGATAGGTCCATCTACACGTGCATGTGTACGTGTTCGGAGGGTGGGTACCACTCGCTCGGCCACCTTCCTTACTAGCGTGCCAGTATAAGTCTCCTCTCATGGAAGGAATTTCCAAATCCTTAGATTTTATCACTCTACAAAGTTAACTGCACAATGTAATCGGGCTTCTGTGTGTATGAAGGGGACGCACCCCAATGGTGATAAAGGTGTCTAGGTAGTACTTGTTAGCGTCACAATGTTGTTGGGTTGGTAACCGGCCATTGTTGTGAGCTTTCATTGAACCATATGAATGACGAGGCCAGGTAACACAACCTACACTGAGCTGTCCGTTGTTGCCTCCGGCTACCTCGACGACGAGTCCTCACAGGAATTCAATACTACAATCGTAAACCTTGACCCCCAGCCTCCCAAAAGGGATGAAGAGATCATCCCCATTATTTTGGGACATGGGGATACGCCCATCAATAATACCCCCGCGTCGTGCCGTCGTTTTGACGTCACGAGCTCTAATAGTGCCACACAGAACGCATTACCGGACGCGGATGATGATGTCAAAGAAAACGGCGTTAGCGACTCGGACTCGTCACTGGAGGCGCCCCCTGTTGACGGTCAGAGGCGCGGCTCCAAGTGGAGCGCGACAATTTTATTTGTGGCCTCTGAAGTCCAGCTTATGTTAAATCTTGCAGAGTTCTGTCCAGAAGAAGGATTCGAAAACGCCCCCAAAAGGGTAAGTTTCCTTATCTTATTTTCTATATCACATTCTGTTGACGTTGGTTTTGCCATTTAAATCCAGATTTTGCTATCAACATTAACTTTTTTGTCTCTGAACATTTTTCCATTAAATTACGTGACTGTGTACTTGTGGTTTTGCAGAGTATTGTAATGCAGTAGACTTGTAATGACTGCGTTTAATTCATAAATGTTAATTAATACAACTGGAAATACATGTTGATGTGAATATCTATCACTTCTGAAGGTTGTTTTCAATATTTAATTATTCATAGCTTAATAAACAATGATACAGAATTGCGCGAGGTCTGACCCTCTCCATCACAAATAAACTCTTACTAAATGAATGTTGTGTGACCTAGAATAACATTAAGCGGTTTGTATAAGATATGATTACCTACATATATACATAGCCCTCGGCGATGTTTGTGTTTTACCCACTGAAGTTTACTGTCACAAAAAACATTACACCATCTCTTTGACATAAACAATATTCACATTAAAAACCTGCCTTTCTCGACCTCGTGTTACTGAGAGAAGAACGTGCTGACGTTTTGTGTGCTAATGTCCGAGAGAATGACATTTTCTAGCCACAAGAGGATAGTATCGTTTGATTTCTTCGCAGATAAAGAAATAAATTTACCCAATTACACGGTTTCCTGAAGTTTCTGTTTGATAGAACCTGTAGTATACGGTAACCGACCACATACATTTATTTTCTGGTTTTCTACAACACATTTACCACAGTATACCACCACGAAAATGATAGCAGTACATCACCACAGAAATAATGGCAGTATATCACCACGAAAAGGATGGCAGTATATCACCACGAAAATGATGGCAGTATATCACCACGAAAATGATGCCAGTATATCACCAATGATCGCTTTACTACGAACGTCATCGTTACCAGCACATTGCTAACACGGCTAAGAGGATTAAACTCTTCAGCATAACCAATGACGTCACGTCAAATATGCTAGTTGTATACAGAATAAGAGCATTTTCTAGTTCATAAGAACATAGCTCGGGTCATTAAATGGGAACCATGACAAGTCGTGGCTATTTCGATGTCATCTCTCATGTATAATATATAAGGCGCAGTATATGATGCTACTTTGGGCACCATGACAGGTCAAGGTCATTTAAATGTCACTTGAACATTTAGTTGCTTTACAAATTATATTTCGACCTTACGGACTACTTTTTGATGTTTGTGCCATCCCACGTTACGCACGATACCACTTGTTTGATGTTTGTGCCCTCCCACGTTATGGACGATAACATTGCAAAATTTATATTCACTCAAACGTTTGGCGTTACGGACGATACCATTGTAATGTGTCTATCGTATGGCGTTACGGACGATACCATTGTAAAGCGTCTACCGTATGGCGTTACGGACGATGCCAATGTAAAGTGTCTACCGTTTGGCGTTACGGACGATACCATTGTAAAGTGTCTACCGTATGGCGTTACGGACGATACCATTGTAAAGTGTCTACCGTATGGCGTTACGGACGATACCATTGTAAAGTATCTACCTTGAGGCGTTACGGACGATACCATTGTAAAGTGTCTACCGTATGGTGTTACGGACGATACCATTGTAAAGTGTCTACCGTTTGGCGTTACGGACGATACCATTGTAAAGTATCTACCTTGAGGCGTTACGGACGACACCATTGTTAAGTGTATCTAAATACAGATTAATACATTTTATATTTACCGGTGCTAGCGATCACCACGTGATTGTTTGTTAAAGATAATCAATGCTTATATATAGATATATGTGATGGTTTAACAGCCCATCAACTTTATATATCGTTATGAGCGCTGCTATCTGAGATCACACTGACGGAGGGACACACCTTAATATATTTACTGGCATGTAGAGAATTATTTCATTCTTAAAATAGATTGCTATCAGAAGTTATTACTGGAATATACTGGTTAAACGTATGTTAAACCTTGATGTAGATTTCAAATACAGCTTTTGATTATAACGTAAACATATCGTTTGTTATAACGACCAATGTAAGTTTCATCAACCATTAATGCGCGTGTTTGTGGGCTAGTTATGGACCAGAAATGTTTGCGTATATCTCATTCCTGATATTAATAATGCTAATTATTTACAGTTTGAGTTCCCACCCATTGATGGTCTGCTAGCGTTTTTAGAAGAATGTGTATATATTCTATATTTATCATCCACGTGATGTTTATAATCATTGTCATTAAAAGTAACCGAAATGTTGTCCCATACTAGAATAGCGAAACGATTTACACAGTGTTATCTATGGTCGGTATACACAGTGTAGTCTATGGTCGGTGTACACAGTGTTATCTATGGTCGGTATACACAGTATTGTCTATGGTCGGTATACTCAGTATGGTAGGTATACTCAGTGTTATCTATGGTCGGAGTACAAAGTGTTGTCTATGGTCGGTATACACAGTGTTATATATGGTCGGTATACACAGTATTGTCTATGGTCGGTATACTCAGTGTTATCTATGGTAGGTGTACTCAGTGTTATCTATGGTCGGAGTACAAAGTGTTGTCTATGGTCGGTATACACAGTGTTGTCTATGGTCGGTGTACACAGTGTTATCTATGTTCGGTATACACAGTGTTATCTATGGTCGGTATACTCAGTGTTATCTATGGTAGGTATACTCAGTGTTATCGATGGTCGGAGTACAAAGTGCTGTCTATGGTCGGTATACTCATTAATATCTATGGTCGGAGTACAAAGTGTTATCTATGGTCGGTATACTCAGTGTTATCTATGGTCGGAGTACAAAGTGTGGTCTATGGTCCGTGTTCATGACGATCTACACAGTGTTTTCTATGGTCAGTGTACACAGTGTTGTCTATGGTCGGTGTACATAGTGTTGTCTATGGTTTGTGTACATGACGATTTACACAGTGTTGTCTATGGTCGGTGTTCACAGTGTTGTCCTTGGTCGTTGTACACAGTGTTGTCTATGGTCGGTTTACACAGTGTTGTCTATGGTCGGTGTACATGACGATTTACACAATGTTGTCTATGGTCGGTGTACACAGTGTTGTCTATGGTTGGTGTACACAGAGTTGTCTATGGTCCGTGTACATGACGATTTACACATTGTTGTATATGGTCGGTGTACATGACGATTTACACAGTATTGTCTATGATCGGTGTACACAGTATTGTCTATGGTCGGTGTAGATGACGATTTACAAAGTGTTGTCTATGGTCGGTGTACACAGTGTTGTCTATGGTCGGTATACACAGTATTGTCTATGGTCGGTATACTCAGTGTTATCTATGGTAGGTATACTCAGTGTTATCTATGGTCGGAGTACAAAGTGTTGTCTATGGTCGGTATACACAGTGTTGTCTATGGTCGGTGTACACAGTGTTATCTATGGTCGGTATACACAGTGTTATCTATGATCGGTATACTCAGTGTTATCGATGGTAGGTATACTCAGTGTTATCGATGGTCGGAGTACAAAGTGCTGTCTATGGTCGGTATACTCATTAATATCTATGGTCGGAGTACAAAGTGTTATCTATGGTCGGTATACTCAGTGTTATCTATGGTCGGAGTACAAAGTGTGGTCTATGGTCCGTGTTCATGACGATCTACACAGTGTTTTCTATGGTCAGTGTACACAGTGTTGTCTATGGTCGGTGTACATAGTGTTGTCTATGGTTTGTGTACATGACGATTTACACAGTGTTGTCTATGGTCGGTGTTCACAGTGTTGTCCTTGGTCGTTGTACACAGTGTTGTCTATGGTCGGTTTACACAGTGTTGTCTATGGTCGGTGTACATGACGATTTACACAATGTTGTCTATGGTCGGTGTACACAGTGTTGTCTATGGTTGGTGTACACAGTGTTGTCTATGGTCCGTGTACATGACGATTTACACATTGTTGTATATGGTCGGTGTACATGACGATTTACACAGTATTGTCTATGGTCGGTGTACACAGTATTGTCTATGGTCGGTGTAGATGACGATTTACAAAATGTTATCTATGGTTGGTGTACACAGTGTTGTCTATGGTCGGTGTACACAGTGTTGTCTATGGTCGGTGTACACGACGATTTACACAGTATTGTCTATGGTCGGTGTACATGACGATTTACACAGTATTGTCTATGGTCGGTGTAGACAATGTTGTCTATGGTCGGTGAACACAGTGTTGTCCTTGGTCGGTGTACACGACGATTTACACAGTATTGTCTATGGTCGGTGTACATGACGATTTACACAATGTTGTCTATGGTCGGTGTACACAATGTTGCCTATGGTCGGTGAACACAGTGTTGTCCTTGTCGGTGTACACCGTGTTGTCTATGGTCCGTGTACATGACGATTTACACAGTATTGTCTATGGTCGGTGTACATGACGATTTACAAAGTATTGTCTATGGTCGGTGTACACAGTGTTGTCTATGGTCGGTATACATGACGATTTACACAGTGTTGTCTATGGTCGGTGTACACAGTGTTGTCTTTGGTCGGTATACATGACGATTTACAAAGTGTTGTCTATGGTCGGTGTACACAGTGTTGTCTATGGTCGGTATACATGACGATTTACACAGTGTTGTCTATGATCGGTATACACAATGTTGTCTATGGTTTGTGTACATGACGATTTACACAGTGTTGTCTATGGTCGGTGTTCACAGTGTTGTCCTTGGTCGTTGTACACAGTGTTGTCTATGGTCGGTTTACACAGTGTTGTCTATGGTCGGTGTACATGACGATTTACACAATGTTGTCTATGGTCGGTGTACACAGTGTTGTCTATGGTTGGTGTACACAGTGTTGTCTATGGTCCGTGTACATGACGATTTACACATTGTTGTATATGGTCGGTGTACACAGTGTTGTCTTTGGTCGGTATACATGACGATTTACAAAGTGTTGTCTATGGTCGGTGTACACAGTGTTGTCTATGGTCGGTATACATGACGATTTACACAG